AAAACCACAATGTGGTACTATTACTTGATACCAGATTGGCAAAAACTAGAAAAATTTCACAGCCTTAAATGTCATCAAAGGTGTTGTGTAATAGGAACTCCCATTCCCTGCTGGATTGTAAATGGATAGAACCACCATGGAAAACCATGTGCGGTCTTATCTGTCAGGGGTTGAAAAAGGGAAGCAGAAGTGATGAGAGAGAGAAAGCCAGGAAGTCAAAGTCTGGATGAGGGCTGCTAGTTGGAAGATCGGAGAAAAATCTTTGACCTGGATCCACCCAGGGCGTCTGATTAGGGGGGCTGGTCCTGTCCCTGAAGTCTCTGGGATGAGAAGTGGAAGTCAGCAAGGACAGGTTGGAGCTCCTCTGTCGGGCACATCTAACACTGGCAGGCCCTGCAGAAGCAGCTTGGCAAGCGAGCTGCTTGTGCACCTGGCCCGGACGTCAGAAGAGCACAGGAGTGTAGGCCGGTTGCTATCCCCTCTGACCCTGTGAGTGGCAGTCCCTGAAAGCTGAGTGGTGCCTGGGCCCCACACTGACCTTAGGAAACGGTGGCTGTAACTAAAGTCCTGTGCACCTTTTCAGCCCTAACCCAATCCAGGACAGTCAGAAAGTTCTGGGAAGCTTTTAGCTTAGCTAAGTGAGCAGAGTTAAATCTCCACCATCTACCCCTTGTGATTCAGGCATCTATGCGTGGCTCTGTAAACCACATCTGACTTCCAGACAAAACAGTATTTTCCATCTGAAGTTGAGAATGTGAAAATACTGTTTCTGATCCTTGGATGCAAAACCCGTGTATAGAAAGGGCCAACTGTATTCATTGAAAAAATCTGCAGTCCTGCCCATTTTCAAGAGTCAGCTATACAGGGAAAAAACTAAAGGGAAACAAAATAGTTTGCATTTTAGGTTGTGAATATTATGCCATTTATTTTGCACCAATAACATTTTCCTACTAATTGCATGTGCTTTTATAGAAAAGGCAGTGTCCTTTCATAAACAAGTAGAAAGTATCACTGTAAAGATACACATATGGTAGTTTAATAAATATGGAAAAGTGAATGACTTCAGGTATATAAACTATCTGCCCCTGAAAGAATGATGTCTTTTACTATTTTTTGTTATTTGTAGAAATACAAAACCAAACCGACTTACTGAGTCTTAGTGGAAAGATGCTGGGTGTGAGTGCAGGACCAGCTCCCTCTGTGATTGACAGTCCTGGTACTCTTCTCTGTCGGTATATCAACCTACAGCTCCTGAATGCAGACCCACAAGGTACATGCCTTCCCTAGTTGTAAACCTCTTCAGCAGGTGAGTGGTGGGGTGTTGGATGGTAAGGTTTTCTTTAATTTTCAACCTCTGTGACTTGTGCGGATTTTTCACATTGGCTTTAATGTACTAATTTAAAGGAACACACACAGGCTTTTTTTTTGCTTTATTTATGTAGAAGTACTCTCATCCATCTGATACGGTAAGGAAATGAGATAAATTGAGTAGGTAAAAGTTACAGCTAAATCTGAATTGCCAACACATTTTAATTCAGCCTTATTTTTTCTTCTTGGAAAGTGTTTTGAAAACTTAGTTTTTTCCAGTTGTTTGGTGTTCTCATTGTACACATTGGTTACTGAAGCCTTCAGGCTCTTCATTATGCATTTGCTGAATACTTCTTTTCCAAGCTGCAGGGCTTTTTATACTTATCGGTTTTCTTTTTCTCCTTCCCCTTTCCCTCTGGGAGATGTTTGAGACTTTTCTGCAAACTGTACAACTGTCCCACTGGCATCCTACACTCAACAGCTGCCTTTCCAAGCCTGCAGCAGTACCCGCTCCATTAGGGATGCTGTAGCGTGATGGTGTGGACTCTCGGGGTTTAATCCAGTCTGTTCTTCCTTCTGTAGAGTGTTTAATGGGAACAGTGGGCACCCTCCTGCTGGAAAACCCACTTGGGCAGAATGGACTCACCTATGAAGGTCTTCTGTGTGAAGCAGCCAAGATGTTTGGCCTTCGCAGCAGGAAGCTAAAGCTGTTTCTGAATGAGACTCAAATGGATGGTGAGATTGTAGAACATGCTAAATTTTTGTTATATTTTTCTTTTGCATTATTTTCTATATGAACAACTGTAAACCTACTTTTGCCCCACCCTGTATATGCTTCTAGGAAACTTAGCATATTCTAAATTTGCTGATTCTAAATTATTCTCTTCCCTAAGGATTAAAATGATCCCAGTATATCCTATCTAATAAAAGAGAAACATGGTAATTAGCCATACCTCCGCTACCCTTCCCATTGGCTAATCAGGGCAATATGCAAATTAACTGCCAGCCAAGATGGCGGCCGGCAGCCAGGCAGCTTGAAGCAAACATGAGGCTTGCTTGCTTCAGTAATGGAGGAAACCAATGTTCC